TGGACCTTAAATGTAAAAAATGGTGAATTTTGGGGTCGTAATAAAGATGGGGGAAAAAAATCAAGGAACATGGAGCCAGTAAAACATGAAGTCACCAGTAAGAACTGAGTGTGGACTGAGGCAATCAAGAAGCAAGCAAGCTACTGAATGGACTGATTACTTGAGTGGCAGCTGGTGATAAAAAAAGAAATAGACCCTCTAGAGGGATGACACCTGGGGATGAAATCAGGGAGGCTGTAGCAAAACTAGGGAGAATGGCAGACAAATCAAGACATTTCTATCTTGCAGTCCTTTTTGATAAATCAAGATACTTTTTCCATGAAGCAGCAACTCTCATGCATATAGAGGAATTTAACTCTAAACTTCTGCATTTCCACCTGCCAACTCCATGTCAACCATTGAAGGACCCAAAATAAAACAATACAAACTAAATAAAACATAACTGTGCTTTGTGTGGAACCTTTAAACTTTTCAGTCTCCACGCAGACTGTAAAGCAATATTCAGAGAAAAATGAATAAATATCTGTTTTCTGCTGCTTCTATCTGATGTGCAAGTCAAACATCAGATAGTAGGACACATGTTCAGGCACAGAATAGTTTTTTCTTTTTTTAATGCCTCTTAAATATACAGGTTCTGTGACAGTTTCTGGTCATCTGTCCTGTTCAGTTTTGATTGTTTATTAATATGCCACAATATTTAACTTCAATCATGGTATTAATCATTTTGGTTTAACCGGATAAACATTTTTCTGCAGTCCCACTGCATTAATGAATCACATAGTTAAGCCTCTCTATGTTTATAGTGGTACACTGAAAATGTATTACTCTAAAGTCACAATAGTAACACTAGAGGTTACCTCATGCGGTATTTAAGTACAAATAACCAAATTACAGGGTCTGCATCAATTTGCATTGTTGTCTTGGTTTTAGGGCTCGTCATACTTCATTCTTGTTCGAGTAATGTCTCAGTCTGATTCCTGTTCTCTCTTCCTTTATTCATTAAAAACATTGTCTTTGCATTTTCTTTGTTGGCTCCACCTCTAAAGTACAAATATGTTCTATGATCACCTCTGAGTAGCTCAACAAGGGGTATGGGGCTGTGGTTAGAGCTACATACATACTGGGTTGGTGGCACATTAAGTTGGAAGCGTGTTGCTTCGGTCAGAGACAGTAGAGGGAGATAATAGACCCCTCAGTCTTCTCATTAGATTACCATCATGGCTGATTAGATTAGGATATAACAAGGTAAAAAAAATATGATTTAGTGCTGCTTTAACGAACTACCAGTGTGGACTTTTGGTATTGACTGCATATGTGGCCGTGCCATGTGACCCCAGATAGGACCTCTCAAAATCTTAGATTGTTTTGATTTCAGGTTTGATAAATTCACATTTTTATTTCCTTCTCCCTTGGTTTTGCGCATTCTGATGATAGACATATATTCTGCATATTCAGGAAGGCAAACCCTAAATTATTGCACATTCTCTTCTGTTTATTTTATAGATGCAAACTCATATTGAACCTAGTTATAAGATTAGTAGTTTCCATGTATCTACTTAACAAACCATAGATAGATACAAACAACCATCATTAAATGCTTGATTAAAGAAATATAAAATTTTAAAGTAAACCAAAAATTGGTGACAAAGGGTATCATCAGGATTTTGCGATTACTTTTGCGATTTTTTCACAAAGCGACATAGAATTTTGGGGTCAGATTTTAGGTGGGATTGTTTTAATTCAGAAATAATTTTTAAGTGAATGAGTGAGTGAGTGGTTGGTTAAGGTAATTTTCCATCCTCACTGTCTGTGCATTAAAAAAAAATCATCATTGTAATTACGGCATTTATAAAACAAAAAATGATCAAACTTGTAATTAAATATAACCTACACAAAACAAAAATATTTGCTTAAGAAAAAGATAGACCTCCTTGTTGGAAACACGTTGCAACCAGGCTATTAAAAGTTAATCCATGACAAACCAATTCCCTTTAAAGCCATTTCTATTAAACAAAAATAATAAAAAGTTAAAACATATATGATGCATATCATTTAACTATGACAGAAAAACCAAAACAAGAGATCAAATCCTTTTTCATGGCACACTTTGCTAGAGCATCGGAGGTGTACAGAGAGATCAACACCTAATTGTTCAGATTGCTTGCTGGAGAACATAATAGCCACACAGCATTTGATGTTGAGCGCACACATTGCAAAGTCGGCTATTTTCTTGCTCTTTCTCAGTTGCTGTATTGTTTCAATGTGAAGTGGAGAAAATTACACACTATTGACTGGAAAAACCAAGAGTAAAGAGATCTCAAGGGGAGAGTAGTTATGAAACACTGTTGCTTGAAGCTAACAGGTTTAGATAACGAAATGACAGAGTAAAGCCAGGGAGAGTTAAGGACATATAAAGTAAAACAAACTGGAGAGACTCTTAAAGGCCCTATGTGTGTCTCCAAACTGTAGATGGCTTTAACACCATCCCCACCATCTGTCTCATCCCACGTAACTTGGACATGTCAGGAATGGCACCAGAGCTTGTTACATTTCGATTGCTGTATCAGCATTTTAGCAAACCTCCAGAACCACAGACAACACCACTAACATTATTTATTTATGTGTTATGGATTGATTTCGATTAGATGTGATTTAAGTTAAAGTCAACAGAAAATAGGGTCACCTTTGTTCTTCAGTCTGTGCTTTTAGTTTTCTTTCTTGTTGGCCTTTTTTTTCTTCTTCCTTGTTCCTGAACATTAATTCTCACTTAATTTTCCGGCCTCAACAGCCCATTTTGGGCATTTTTTTATTTCTCTCACCGCCAGAAGTAATTCTGAGTCCTTGGGATTTCCATCAATGTCAAACACTCCTAGACGAATGGCTAGTGTAGTGTTTAGAAGTTGATCCCACCCTTCTCTAAATGTCTTAACGTTAACCGCCTGCTTGGATGTTCAGAGTGTAACGTTCTACTTAATGTGACTCTAGATGGATCCTCATGCTTTTTAGGATTAGTAGATTCTTAAGACCTTTAGCTCCTGACATTTAAGACAGAAAAAAAGGCATTTAAATTGTAGATGTGCAACTAGACAGCCAGTTTTGGAGATTACTCTACATATACTGTTCTGCAGTATGTGCCGAGGAATACATATTTGGCTACAGGAATTTGTGCATAATCTCACCTTCATTTCGTTACCTCTCAACATACATCTCTGTAAAATACGGCTTTTGTGGTGGTTTATATTCCTTTATTACGCTTTTTATTATAAAATGATAATAAAAAAAATTGCTTTTTACTGTGGAACAACCTGCTCCTTGGTCTGCGGGTCATGCTAATGATTTCATTTTACTTTTTTATTTTTTATTTTTTTGCAATGTTTTTATCTTTCTGTGAAGCACTTTGGACTTCCTGGTGTTGTTGTAAAGTGCTA